ACATCATCAAGTAGTTTCAGGTTTACATGTTATAGCTAATGCAAGTTTGTTGCTGGTAGAGTATTAAAATTAACTTTGAATCAAGGTCTGTACATATTTTTTTAATGTAATGGACTTCTATCAGCTGCATGTTTCTGTGAGACACAGCTACTGGAAAGTAACCGCTACTAAAAAGTTAATAACTCTGGGGTATAGTTTATATGTTCTTCCCTGTCTGTACCAACATTTTTAATCTAGTTCAAGTAGCTTTCATGTTACAAGAATGTCAAAACAGCATAAAGCTCGCAAACTGACTCTGCAATCACATAAAATTAAACTTTTTTTTTTTTAAGATAAAAAAAATAACCCAATTGTCCTGTTGTGACCTGTCATGCAGACAACTAAAAAAGACTAAAAACAAAAAGGAATTAAAGCAGTATATATCACAGAGGACTAAATGACTTGCAACCAAGAATTTTAGGGAAGAAAGTTTTAAAAACAAACTCCATGCTAAAAAGCACAAAGAGACGATTTCAAAAGAGAGTCAAGAACATTCAGAAATCCTGATTATTAGTCATTCATTTTATACAGTCTTGATTAAACTATTCAGATTGCAATGTCTGTTACAACTGTTTAAAATCATATAGATTCAATAGTAAGAACAACTCAAAGCTACACCAGTATGTTCATCAGGAGCAGTAAAAATTTATTTATAAAAGAGTACAGTTATTTTTCTGAATTTGCCCAAAAGCATTCCTTGTTTTCTTTCCAAGAATATTCATCCTCATAAATCTCCTGCAAATACAAACAAAGAATGGGAAATATTGTGGGAGTCTGCTACATACAGCCGCAAGCCAGGCCAAACAAATCAACAGCCATCCTGCTATTATTTACTGATCACATCAGGACTACACAGTACTTAGCTGGCAAACAGAAAGGGGGACAACATCCTTAGAAAACACTGACTTACATGTGGGCAGATGCTGAACCTTAGGCTGAACCTTTTAAATTTAGAAGTACCCATTTAGAAGGACCCATCTATGCTGAGGTTCCTTAAAAGAGATCTAGAAGAAAAGGACGTAAAAGCTGTAGAGTACAGAGTGTTCGTGTCTGAAATACTGCCCCTTTTAGATGATGCCATGTTAACCTGCTATAACATAATTTTTAGGAATGAGAGTACGTAAATGTATATAAAATGATGATGTTAAAAAAAAAAAAAAAGAAGAGACACCCCAATACCCAAAATACAGCTTTACATTTTCAGGACAGACTGGACTACTCAGCAGCAGTCCAGTCCCAAGTGGCAAATTCAGCAGTGTTCTGAGCCTGATTATTCTTTCTGAGACCACAAAACTCCACACTCCTGAAGGAGGTGTCAGAAAAGCAGAGATACTGAAGACAGTGTTTTACAATGAGCAGTAACTCAGAAAAGCACTGTTACGACATGCCAAGTTTTGACTAGGATAGAAGGCAGAGGTAATGTTCGTTACTTCCATGGAACACTGTGGTTATACAACACGGCTCTTTCTAGACCTGGGCTGGTCTCTTCACACATTGTTGTGTCCCCATATGAGCTTTGGGACCTCTGCACATCCCTCCATTGTGTGCTGTTGCTATGCTTACGTGCACTGTTGCTTAATGCTTCGTGCTTACTCAAGGCCATGGGGAAAAAAAGAAAAATGCCACTTTTACTTGCAAACTGCAATGCTGTCCAATGCAGAGCTGACTCAAGGCTCTTCCACAAGCCTACACAGAACTGAACTTTGCCACCCAAAAGCGAGCTCAAGACTCTTTCAGTCTGTCCCCAGGAAGAAGTAAAGAAGAAGAGTATCTGGGAGATACAGGCAAGAAAGGACCTGCCAGGTGCCTGATGTACCACAAATAGCCTGGCTGCATTAAAGGAAACTTACCACTGCTAAAAAAAGCACCCCATCAGGAGCAAATGCTGCACATAATGCTTCGGCTCTTTCCCACAGAGCCAGCAGCAGCCTCCAGCCCAGCTGTTTAAGACTCTGCACAGGCTGGAATCAAATTTGTCCCAAGCATACCTTTTTCCATATTGGGACGAATGCTTTTAAGGTGTTGATGCAGTACATTACAGCCTCAAGGGATTCTGTTCTGTGTGGAGACGACACTGCAATAATTACACTTGCTTCAGTTATTGGAACCACTCTAGGGAGAGAAGAGGAACAGCAGCTTTAGCTAATGCTTAACATCAAGAGCACCCAAAAGTCGTAGCCATGTCACGTCAGTATTCTGGCCACATGCTCTCCTGACTCATTCATACTGAGCAAGTGTCAAGCCATGTCCAAAAGATTATGCACTTTTAAAGAGAAAGAAAACCACAACCAAAATCAGTACCAGATGTGAGAATTCCATACTCTAGAATAAATAAAACCAGCCATAGGCATTTTTCTTCCATTCTTTTTATTTTAAAAAAAGTCTATGGAATTAAGAGGGGAAAATTGCTATCTGCAACAATGCATAGGAAACTCGATTGAAGCTGGCTCAAAAATGAACAATAACAGGTCAGGAACGTATTATCTGAAACCTGAGAAATCATCTCAGTCTGCATAAGAATATGTGAAACAGGCAATTATGCACCTCAAACTACACAGATTTTGCAATAAAACTTTAATTTGAAATCAGAATTTGGCAGAAGTATGTTTTTCCATTTAGTGTGTGTCATTTTTTTCTAAACTAAGCTAACAGAAGTAGCACAAGGTTTTGTCTTCCTCCTCACAAGGACAGTATTCCTAAAAGCTGCCTTCCAATCCTCCTTCTATAGCAAGGCTCCATTGGAAAACATTTCAGAGGAAAAATCTAAGCTTCAGTGCTTTGAGCTGCCTTTGAGAGGATCACTTTTTCTCTTGACTATAGAGGAAATCCAAAGAAACTGCCCTTCAGAGCTAACATTAACCTTTGTGATCACACAACGTTCCTCCTGATGAGAAAAAAGGAAACAAACATTTGTAAATCAAATTTGCATGCAATGCAAGTCCTGATATTTTAGTCAGAAACCTGATGAACAGTGAAGGCTCAGGAGTATGTCAGACACTAGTGTTCCTTGTTCTGTACCCAACAAAACATGCTTATCCAGGACTCAAGGAACAACTGGAGGTTTTCCTACAAGCATGGCTGCCAATTATCACGCCTTTCCCTTTCTTCATATTCTAAGCTTTTAGGTTCTGTATGGTAAAACCTAAATCTGACAAGAAACTGACAATCTGAAGCATTGCAATAGAAGAGAAGTGCCAACTCAACTTTGTATCTTCTAAAATAAATAAATAAATAAATAAACAAAAAGGAGGGTGGGATGCAAAAAAAGCCCTAACAGCATCTGCATTCCTGCAAGTAAATCTTGTTTCCTTCTCTGCACTCTCAAACCATCACACCGGGATCAAGGTTCTGCAGGTTCAATGGGTTCCAGCAAACAGTACCAGTAAACACATTTCCAAAAAAAAACCAACAAAATTTCTGAAACTTATTTCTGCAGTAACAGCTTGATCCTGCAGCAAGTTCTGCTGCCTTGTATCACACAGACTCCTGCATATCCTGTAAGTATGTAAGCACGCCCAAGAACCAGACAAGGATTAGTATACCATTTGCAGAAAGACGGGGCCTGGACATACATACCCAAGTCTATGGTGCATTGCAATATGTTTGACTGATGGCCATTTCTGTCTAACATCTCTGCAGATTTTCTTTATTTCCATCTCTGCCATTGAAGTATATGCTTCATACTCTAAGTGAATCACTTTTTTCCCTTCAAAATTATTTCTCGTAGTACCTAAACACAAAGAATTATCAACCAAAAGCAACAATAAATACTGAGTAAAGCTCAGGATCACCCACTATGGCCAAGGTCAGCACTATGCAAACACAAATGCTTCTTCTAATCATGTCTGCAGAGAGATTATTCAAACAATACACATTTTTAACATACAAGGATGAATTTACTCTACAGATACAAGTCTGCCGTCTGTAAGGCCCAAGGCTGGGGCATCTTTTGTGTTAACTATTTAAGTGTTCAATATTTAGAAGCCCACTGGGACTTAGGTTTGAGCAAAAAAGGGTTTGAAGATCTGGACATTAAGTGACAGGATAGAGCTATCAGCCTTGACCTTCAACACTGGTAGAACAGTACTTTGCCTTCAAATCATAAAATCATAGAATCATTAAGACTGGAAAAGATTTCCAAGACCATCTGGTCCAACCAACCCCCTACCTCAAATGTCACCCACTAAACCATGTCCTTAAGTGCCAGCTCAAACCTTTCCTTAAATACCCCCAGGGATGGTGATTCCACCACCACCCTGGGCAACAACCGAGATATGAGTTGCAGCAGCTTTCACACAGGTGAGGGCCTAAGCTTTGCAGAGCCACAACTTCCCACTTCCCACCACAAATAAACTGTGTCCAAGGGGATAGCTGAATAACTCCTAAGCAGTCCTGCCCTCCAGCACTGCTGTTCTGTTCAGCCCTAGGAGACTCATACCAGCAGTAAAGCTTCTCACCACTGAGACCCAGTGCAACTGTTTAAGAGTTGCCATGGTCTTGTTCTAAATATTTCAGAATGAGTTTTCTAAATGTCCTGGGTTCAGTCCAAAAATTTATTTATTTGAGAAGCACGAGTCTTGTGTGTGGGACAATCTGGGTTCCATTTATTAGACTATTAACACACCAGAGATCCAGCTATGAAACATTAAACTCACCAATGAACAGAGACACTGCCCCACAGTTTGGTGAAATGACCAGCTCTGACACTTCATCTACAGACAGTTTTTCAGACTTGAGCTTGATAAAATCTTTTGGCACATCTTCGCTTTCATCCATGGCTCACTAGAAGAGCTGAAACCAAACAGACTGATGTTGTTTTTGGCAATAAGAGCATTTGCCAACTGCCTTTTATCCAGTACTGATGCCCCAATTTATTCAGAAAGCATGCACCATCTAGTTACTTACCCCAAGAGACCAGTCTCTATGGCAAATTCACTTCTCGGCAGACTTGTTGAGAGAATATCAAGTGGAAATATCATGGATCGACCTCTTTCTAATGCATATAGGCTCCTTCCCTGTAGGAAAGTCTGGTTCATTAGGATGCAACAAGAACTAGTTCAAGGCCTTGGCTTAACAGTACAGTCCACCAGCATGGAACACTGTGCTAGCAGATCTGTGTTAAGATTGTCAGCCCCTTCTGCCTGTCCTATCCTGAAATCAAACAGTTTAAACCAGAGATTTTGATAAACACAGAGATTGTTGGATTCCAATCTGAAGTTTAATTTACTCTCCAGGACATTCATCAAGTCTTCATCCTATTGGCCTGTTTCAGTGACACTGGTGCCACTTCTAGCCGCTCTGTGTAGAAACCAGTTACTGGTTTGTCTAAGAATGAAGAGGAGATGCAGACTGAGCAGCAGCAATGAAACAAGTTGCTTTAAATACAGAGTCTGGCACTTGAAAGCATGCAAAGAAATGAGATATTCTAAGGATACCTGATCTTTTGACAACCACAAAAAAAAAGTGTTTTTAATCAGCTTTTTTTTATACCATCTTTACTGTTAAAAAGTGGTGGGACATCTTTCATTATTATCTAACACAGACAAGCTGAGTATCTACTGACAGCCAGAAACAACTACTAAAGTGTAACAAGACCTAAAAAACAGAAACCGAACAATGCCTGACCTCGCTAGCAACTTTCTTCCACTTACTGCATACGTGTTAATTATTTATTTATGCAGCACCTTATAGTTTCTGGTAAGCACACTGATTCTCTCCAGCAGGAAATACAAGTTATGCTTTTTTGGGAGAACTGCACATCACATCTCTGGACCTAAATAAAAAATATAAGAAGATTATACAGAGTCCTTGAGATATTCTAGCTCAGGATGATCCTCCACAGGACATTCTCCTAAGCCAGAAGTGATACGTTGATACGTACCTAACAGAAGTTGCATAAATTCAGCCTCCACTAATTGGTGGGATGATGGCAACCTCGTCTCCTGTCTGCAGGACCAGGAGCTGATCTCCAAGAAGCACGTACTCCTGCTGAACAGCAAAAATCACTTGATCCCGGATGACAGCAAGCCTGAAGGGGAATGGTAGAAGAACAAATATGTTTCTAAATAGAGTGCTTGCATTTAACAATGAGATTTCATTAAACAACAAACTGGTGTGCAGGCTAGGGCAGCTGAAGCTAATACGGCTGAGACTTAAGCAACTCTGCTTCCAGTATACTTTTAAAAATATCATACATCATGAACACCCACCTCCTACTCTTGGATTTTTTTTTTGTTGTAGCTAGAAAGAAACCAATTAAGTACCATTTTCAGAAGTCACATATTGAGGTTTGTCATTAGCTTGCATAAACTACATCAAAACTTGCCAATTTAAACCACTTTAGAAGCTTCTAACAAATAAGTATGTAACTCGAAAGCATACAAACTATCTGATTTGGGATTAGAAGGCAATGTTCCCCCAGTTCAGTCTGGCTGGACTGCACAGCAGAAAGAAGTGTTGAGAGATTTAATTCATTTTTGTTATTTCATGAAGTGGTCGAAGTATTCCTCTTTTGTAACCTCACTGATTATGAGGCTTTTGGTCTTTTGCAGGCTTGAAATTTGCTATTGATAAGGGGGCAGCAACACTGCTAAGAGGGCATACAAGGTGCATTTTCTGGCATATCTTCCGGGTTTTTTTTTGGCCTTTATGTTTGTGAGATGTTGGTGTGAGAGTCCACAGCTCTGGATACCATGAAACAGGGACCTGCTTTCACAACCAAGAGCAATTACACGGTGAGTATGAGGACAACACCAGTAAGATACCAGACAAGTATGCCAACATTTTAATTTAGCAGATGCACACATAAGAACAGTATTGTTTGAGACTACAGAATCTAGCGCAGACAGCAGAGAGCTGTATTGCCTAGAAACTAGCATGCATGCCAAAAGGGTACATCTAAAAATCAACTTATTTCCTACCAGCCAGATAGACAAAAGTGGGCAAGGCACTGGCTGAGCACAACACAGTAGCACTGACTCAGAAGACAGACTGAAGGGAGGAACTGTACAAAAGTAAAGCAAGTCACCAAAGAACTGCGTGTAACTACGGAACTAAAGTGCCCATTAAAAGGATGGTTTCTAATTAATGTCACTTGCAAGTGAATTCATTGGGGAAAATGGGTAGAACAGAAGAGTATTGTCAAGTGTGCTCAAGCTGCAGTTTGAATATCCATTAGCAATGTGAATAGAAGTCTGTGGTCAGTGCCCTACAATTATGTTGAGTTTTTCCAGAAAAGCTAAGAACAGAAGCATTTTCCAAGAAGGCCGCTGTGAAGTAACTGCACATGCAAAATGTATGGCTCCAAGTCATCTTTCACAACAGGGTGAAGCTGACAAAATTCGCAAACTGACCAAAGGTGTTGCTGCTTCTGACACCAAGTAATAGACTAAGAAGTAAAATATTCCCATTTCTTACTGCCTCCTCCACCAAAATGCACTTGGTCGCATTGTGTGTGATGAAAAGCCCCCTGCTCTAAAGTCTTTTTAGAGCTTCTCCTTTGGAAACAGCTGCCATTGCTAAGAATTTTTTTTTTTTTTTCATATCCTTTGAGATCTAATAAAGAAGCACTGTGCCTAAAGGAAGACTTTTGATCCTAAGTCCAAAGTTATGGAAACTCTGCTACATTCAACAGTAAATCATTAAGATCTTAACCTCTGTTACGCCTTTTTTTCTTTATTTTCCTTTTTCTAAATGACATTGCACCTTTGTGCGTTAGATTTACTCCTGTCAGGACTGAGCTCATTCCCTCTGCCTTAACCTGAGATGGCAATTCTGCTGCCACCCCCAGGAAGCACAGCATCAGACTCCCTATGAAATGCAGACAACAGTGCTTTTCATTTTTCCAAAACAGAGGTGGCCGAAGGTGTGAGAGCGACTGAAAGAATTTATTCTGTAAGGGTTGCGTGGCTGGACGCCTGAGCCTGGGCTTCAGTTCCCTTTTTCACCCTTTTTCCAGAGAAGCACTGTAAACTCAGATTAATAGTCAGTTAAAGGTAAGTGATCAAAACATTTATGCACAGAGTTACTTCACACTTGTTCTCCTGGAGAACAGGACCGATAGGTACATATATCAGACCTAGCCTTCCTTAGAGTTTATGTAAAGCCATACTCTTTGTAACTGGCCAACATATGAGATACTCACTGGAGGTTACAAGAAGAAAAGTTCACTTCTGTTAGGATATCAAAATACTGATACTTGTTATAGCTGAACCCTAAACGCTGAATTTGTTAAAAAAAAACAAAACACCCCACAAACGCTACACAGTGTGCACCTCAGCAGCGCCTTCCCCAAATACCTTGGATGGATCTTAACAATTTCTTCCCAGAGCTGCAGGGAGGTGAGCCGCTGCGGCACGGAAACGCTCTCGGAGCGCAGCCCCGCCAGCTCAGCGCTCCTGGCAAAGTACAGCACCGTCACCTGGGGGGGGACACCGGGAAGAAGTGTTTTTGTAACCGAGCGCGGCCCCCTGCCTCCTGCAGGCCCGGCATCGAGGGACCCCCGGCCCGACGGGAGGCCGGGGCCGGCGGCACTCACCTGGCAGCGCATGGAGCCGCCGTGCCCGGCCGGCACAGCCTCGGCCTCACGCCGGCGCCTGCGCCCGGGAGAGCGGAGCCGAGCCAGGCCCGCCCCTTGCGGCCTGCGCCTGGAGCGTGGCGGGGCCCGGCTGCGGGCTGCTAGGCCAGGCTAGGCCGGGCAGGGCGGCTCCGCTCCGGGGTCTGTGCCGCGCGGTGAAACCTCCCGGGGAGACGGCCCCGAGGGGCTTCGGAGGGCGGTGGCGGGTGTGCAGCCCGCACATGGGCCGTAGCTCTGGAGGCAGACCCCCAAAAGGCAGATCTGGGGATAGGTTTGGTCCCTGCAGTGCCTGGGGGTGTCTGCAAGTAGTTACAGGAGTCATGCATCGCATGCACGGCACACGTTGTATGTAAGCTGCACGTATGTGTCATAGGTACATGTAACGTATGAAAGCCAAAAATCCGCTCAAACATTGATAAAACCTCGCTTAGAATATAGAGACTGCCTTGGCACAGCATTGCCTGTCTCCTTGTGCAATAGAATAGAATAATTAAGGTTGGAAAAGCCCTCCAAGATCATCTGGTCCAACCATCCCCTTACCACCAACGTCACCCACTAGACCATGTCCGCAAGCACCACATCCAGCCTCCCCTTGAACACCCCCAGGGACAGTGACCACCTCCCTAGGCAACCCATCCCAGTGCCTGACCGCTCTTTAAGAGAATAAATGTCTCCTAATTTCCAACCTAAACCTCCCCTGGCACAACTTGAGGCCATTCCCTCAAGTTATCACTAGTTATCTGTGAGAAGAGGCTGACCCCCAGCCCCCCCACACCTTTCTTTCAGGTAGCTGTAGAGAGCAATAAGGTCTTCCCTGAGCCTCCCCTGGACTGAGAAACCCCAGTGCCCTATAGGCCTCCAGTGATTGCTCATGTGGGAAGGCGGTGGGTGGAGGAATCCAAGCTGGTGGCCTGTGCAGTGAGGGGACAGCATAACAGTGCAGGGTGTGTAAGTGCCAGGCAGGCCTTGGCAGTGGTTTGGCAAGCACAGTTTGCCAAACTCCAAGCTCCAGTCCCAGCCGTCTTGTGTGGCCAGGGTTATTTCTGTGCTGTTTACTGAGCAACACAGAAAACCTCACAGCAGTCAAACAGCAAGTCCTTCCACCACACCAAGTAGGGGGAAACCCTTAACTGTTAGTAGTGATGTTGAGCTTGCAGCGTGCAAACAGGTGTTTGTGGTGGGGGTAGGTTGCAGTATCCTAGATGGATGCAATGCTGGCAGAAATAAAAAAATAAAAAAATAAAAACTGCCCTCAAAATTAGAACTGCTATCCCATCGTTTAAAAAGGTCACTGAGAATAGAAATAGATCTTTCCACATCTGATTCTTGCTTCTGAGGTACTATGATACAGACAGTAGGAGCTTTCTACTGTACAAAGTTAAAGTGATAAAGTTCTTCCCTTCCACACTGACTCCTTCCTTCCTCCCCCCCCCCCCCTCGCCCCTGGAAAATGTGCAACAGGAATGCAATTATTTTCGTGGAGTTTACATTTTGTACACCATGTCTTATTCCTCTGCTGTGAGGAACAAATTAGTTATTTTTTAAAATAACTCTATTTTTTAAAACTCTATTATTTTGTTTGTGAATGATTAACTACTGTTACAAATTGAACTCTCCTCAAGAGGGCATGTGTCAGGTGAATAAAATAGTTGCTTTCTTTTTTTCTCTGGGCTATGTAATTTTGGATCTATACATCTTAAATGAAATAGATCACTTTGACAAGGTACATATGACCTAGCCACTAGCTAGAAAGTTGCTGGCACATTCTTCCAGTGCAAAAGATGTGCCACAGGTGTCATATCCTCAGAGTCGAGCAAGTGAGTAGCTGGGCTCAGCTGCAGCGAATTAGCCGCTCAGCTCAAAAAAACGTAAGCTCTGAAAGATTTATCCCTAGATTTGGAGTTGGATTTAGAGTGAGGTCCACTGTGGAATAAGGAGGGAGCAGTTACAGGCAGCAAGTTTCTAGATTTTCTTTATTTAAGCTCCAGCTAATAACTCACCAAAGCCACTTTTTGTGCATGCTTGAAAGGATGGGTCAGTTTTCATCCCTATGTTATGTGACTCAGTTAAAGACAGAATTTGGGCCAACATGGCACATATGTGTGACTCTTAGAATCTATTAACTATGTTCTAGAACCAATTAATGAGGCTAGCAGTTCTTAAGAAAAATGATCAGAAATTAAGCCGAGGTATATTATCAATATCCAACAAAAACTGTCCCTACGTACCTGTTAATTGTGGAGGTCTTTTATTCCAAGAATGTTAGACTCAGAAACAGTTTCTTGGTTTCCAAGAGTGAATTTTATTGAAATTGCTTTTTTTTTTTTTTTTTCTTCATCTTGGCTTGTTTTGTGTTTTGTTTATGGTCAGTACAAGTACCTATGAAAAATGAAATTAAAAATATTTCTACTGGTCTGGAGGAGACACAGTAGCACTGTAGAGACTGGGATTTTAAAACAGTCTGTTCTCTTGTTCTCTGTGATTCTTATAAACTATATTCACGTGATTGTTCCCTTAACATCTTGCCTGTTTTGGATCCTTCTTTCAGGCACCATTTTCTTCTTGCATTGTTTGGTTTGGACTGCAATTGTGAGTAGCTCCGGCATGTAATGGTTAGTTCTAAGTGTTGTTTATTGAGTCTAATATTTTAAAGTAAATCTTGTTCTAGGGCATGGTCTTTGCTTTTGCTAACAGATGTGTGTGCATCCTCCCATGTCCATATGTACTTTAGCATCTTAGATGATAATTCTTTTGGATGTCTTTAATTTTAAAAGCTGTTGCAAAGCCCTTCAAAGCAGACATTTCATATTCTGTTTTCCAACCTTTCTTTATTTTAATAGTTTAATACTGAAAAATTGCAAATCTTCCTATACAGCATTTTGTTACACCACTGCAATAGAGTGGCTTAATAGAAATTTCATTCTAACAGTACCAAGGAGAGGCAAATGTTGAGGAGCTACTATTCCTGTTAATTTGTTTCTTACCTGCCGGCAGCATACTTGGAACATGAAGATCTAGCTTAACCATACCCAGGCACTAGGCTTGCAGTTAAGGCGCGGATAGTGTATTGTGCTGTTGAATGGATAGAACCACAGCAGAGCTGATGAAACTTAAGTAGGTAAAGCAGACTGCTAGTCCTAAACTATTTTTGTAGTAACTTACTACAAGAATTGTTATAAAACATGACTGGATGCACTGGGAAAACCAAAGAGGAATGAAGTGTTGATGTATTATTAATCTTATTAATTTCTTTTTACCAATGATAAACTTAGTGTCACTGCAGTAATAAAAGTGATACTTTAGAACTGTAAAAGATTGTGACTGTCTAACCTCTACTAGACTTTCTGTTTCATTGTGTTTTCATTTAATAAGACATTTTCTCAGGTCTCTTTGTATAAATCACAAGTTATTGTTCTGAAGTTCAGATTTATACTTTGGAAGCCTTGAGATAACTTCTCTTATTCCTATTTTACAGTTGTGATGAATTTACCTATGTTAGCACTACACCTGAGTGCATTTGTGCAGAAATGTAGATATTGATGCATGACACTGTATTTAGAAGAATGGACATGATCACTTTTCTTCGTGCTTCCTGAATTAGCCAGGGAAAATAAAAATTATCATGATCTGGAATAACCCTTCATTACCTTTTACACCCTCCATTTGTCTTGGGCCCCTAGCCAGATTTAAAGTCAGTTGATCATTAACCTCCCGCTACTGAGTTCATTTAAAACAAAACAAAGCTGTTTGGGATAACCTACTAGGATCTGAAAGAGGGGCAGGTATAAGAGAGATATCACCATGAATTCCAGTCATTCCAATGAATTTGGCCTCAAATATGTCAACACAGGTAATAATCTGGAAAACATTTCCTTCCTACTTGGGGAGGAAAGAGAACTGTTCCTTGAGTTTCCATGGTGGAAGAATGGAGGGGAAAAAAGTGAAAATATGAATCTGTCTGTGGCACTATGACCTCTAGAATTCCTGTGTGTGAGGTATATGTGGCCATTTGACCAATGTCTTTAACATCCCCCTTGGCACTCTTTGACATTGTCTATTACAAAACAGATGGTGCAGTAGTTACTTTTTGAAGGGCTACAAGAGCATGACCACATCTGGAATTAATCTTTAGCTCCCTAAACCAATAGATCACCCAGTTTTAAGAGGGCCTTCCAATATAAATGCATTGCACAAGTACAGAGAAAGAATACACAGCTTTAAGGCAGAGTATAAGCAGTCTGGAACTATAATTCATAGGCACACAAGTATTTCTGCTCAACTGTTTCATTTACAGGCAAGTCTTTTCTACAAGATTTTTTTAAAATTTAATTTTCATTGAGCAACAGCAGTAAGTGAAATATATAGCTTCTTAAATGAGATTTTAAAAATCCATAAATTTTAATTTTTTGAAAAATTATTTTCCTTTTCTGTTGATGGCTACAGTATATCTAAAGAGATGAGCTTTTTCATTTCCATACTGTCCTTTGCCCTGAAGGATAACTGAAGGTTGTATTAAACCAGCAAACACATGGCATTATTTGAATAAAGCTAACTATGGAGTTTTGGACAACCATTAAGCAGTATAATATATGCTTTAAAGAATGGGGGGAAACAGCACTAGGATACTCAGTGATGATGCCAAGTTAAAAACTGTTTCCACAATCTTTGATGCCAAGGCAAAAGGACAAATTTTATCCCAAAGAACCTTGTATTTCAAATTGCCTGGCACTGAACTGCATCTACCTGGCTAATATTTGATCTGGAGGATTTAAATATTTAAAATATCCACTGTGTGACCTGTAATTATGCAAAATAAATAAATAAATAATTGTAATGTCAAAAATGCATTACTTACCGCAAAGGCCCCAGATTTTTGTAACAAAGCAGTGGTAAGGGCAAAAAATTCAGAATATTTTCAAATCTACAAATCATGTCTCTGATATGGTGTTTAAAAACATAATATTTCTCTCATACCTACTGTTTCACTTGGCTTGTATGTTCTCCTGAACTTCCTTTGTATAGCACTTTGCACAGAGATATGTGGAACACTCGTAGATTATTTGTCATGTTAGTTTATATTCCCAGATTAAATTGTTGGCCTGCTAGCTTTCATAATGCATAAGAATCTGAAATATTGCACAAGATAAAAAATGTTTCACAATGTGGAATTGCCATAGGCAATGGAATTCCATTGGAGTTGTTCTTATCCATTGGTGGTTGATGGAAATAAAATCAACCTCTTTACCTACTGGAAACAAAAGTTTTGAGGTCGATGCTTGTCACATCAAAATACAGATTGCAGCTATCAATCCTTTATGATCATTGTAGCTACTTTGCTCAGCTTGAAAACTGATTTATTTATTTATTTATTTTTAAGTTTTGCAGTATTTAGCATCAGTGTCTTTACCTACCTCTGGAAGCACACACAGAACAGTCATGATAGGATGCCAGTCTAGCTTAATTTAGACTCTGATTGTATCCCATGATTAATTCCTTCAATAACATTTTAAGTATTCCAGTTATTTTGCCTTCAAGCTTTTATTTTTACTCTTACAAGGAGTAGATTTAGAACTTTGTAACATGCATTTGTGGTGGACTTGGCAGTGTTAGGTTAAAGGTTGGACTAGATGATGTTAGAGGTGAACCTGAATGATTCTGTATTATACAGCTGACGCTGTAGATTGCTGGGTTCACGTCCTCATTAATTCAACGTCTAAAGCTTAGTGTTTTTGTGTAATAGCAAGAGTGCACAAGCTCTGTAAAGATGCAGAAGTTCTTCACAGATGAATCCTACTGTAGGTGGTTTGAAACACTAGGGGTAGATCTGCCCTGCCCAGGTTGGCTGCAGCATGGAATGTGCCATGTTCTGTCTTTTCCATCTACATGGGAGCCTTGCTGAAAGTCTGCAGATCTTTGTCATCGTATTGTCAATATATAAACCTGAATCAGTATTCTTATTGAAGTGTTGGATGTATTTCACTTAACTGTTTTGCACATTTCAAGAAAAACTTGACTAGATCCTTACTGGTAACATCCTGTGCTGAGGCTGATCGAATTGGAATGATTTCCATCGGCCTATATGCACTATGTATATTCAATTCATCTCTGTTCTAGTTGACATCTGGAATGCTTTTTTTTTTTTTTTTTTAAATGCATTTTTTTCATAAAATATTATATTCTGGTGATTTTTTTCCAAACCCTAGAAAAATGTGTAATTAGTTCTGAAAGCCAGTTGCTTAGTCGCTTGATTACATTTACTTTTTAATGTGAATCAATAGTTTATGAGGGAGAGAGAGAGATTGTGGCTGTGTGGTTAAGAATGAGTTGAATTTTGTATTTCAAACTTCAATTGAGCCATGCTATATTCTGGCATCCAGCTCAGGAATTCTGTTTACAGCTACACAAGATCGCCCACATCTCAAGCAAATAATAAAAGCCTATCTTAAAGATTGTCCAAATTTTGCATGCAAAAATTCTGTCCTAAAGATTGTACAAATTCTATGTGCAAAACCAAGACTAAAGTTCCTATTGCTTTGTTTTGTCTTATACATAAAAGCACACATGTCCACATGAGGGCACCAGCTGACATCTTATTCTCAGATCAATGTGTAATCTGGTTCTGTAACAAACATGTCAATCAATTGTCACTGCATCTTTGTGCTTAACAGAGCTAGAGAAAAGATTGTAATCTTAAACATTATGATTCCCAAATTTTGTTTTATTCTTTTTCAATTCTTAGGGCAAAAATGTTTTCGGTTTTCCCCACATTCTACATACAGCAGAAATCTTAAAATTAAAACAAACAAACAAAAAAAAAAAAAAAAAAAGGAAAAAAACTTTTATTCACATAGAGATGGGTGAATGTTAAGGTATTTTTTGAAATAAAATTAAAATCCTTTTTTAACCTGGCTGCATGATGACATTAGTGAACTTATTAAAATTTGTAATGTTTATTATTTCTTAACCTTGAAAAGAGAACAAAAATCCAGAGTTTTTAGCCGCGTTTTTATTAAATCCACAGAAATATGCAGACAACACCCATTCCATTTGTGGAAGTTATACAATCTTAAAAAAAAAAAAAAAAAAAAAAACGCAAAGAGCAATTACTCTGGGTTAGACTGAGGATCTGAGGATTCAGGACCAATACTGCCCACTTCCTTTCCCAGTTGAACTCCAAGAACATTCACCAACGTAAACACAGAATGTGAACCATCAGGTTTCCTCTCCAGCTCCCAAAGTGCCAAAGTGCCAGGCAATCAGAACTGTACAGGCATGATACATTATTCAGCAGGCCAGCAGACTGCACGCTTTGAGGAGGATGTAATGATGTATTCATTAAATAGGGAAGGTTACACCAAGCAGACTGCAGGGTTGTTTGATAGAGATGACTACACACAACGTGAGGTAATGCAGAGGATGTTTTTCTTTGAAATCAACTGTATAGCATTTTAAAGGACAGAAAAGCTTGACAGGAATTTCCAAAACACTTTGGAAGGCATTCAAAAAAACTGTCTTAACCTGGTAGGATTGATCTCCCTAGACTCTGTGCAGTGAAACCCCCTGCATTTTTCTAAACAATCATTCAGAAGAGCTGAATTAAATTATCTTGCTTGACCCTGGTAAAACCTGTTTCACCATTGACTCTTGGGGTAGTCTGGGGAAATCAGGCTCGCTGGGCTAATCTTCGTCTTGTGAGTACTTTTCTGGTGACAGGGGAACAAAATACTGTTATTTGAAAATTAGAAATACCATGGTATAGATCTCTGGAATTGGAGAATATAGGAAAATATTTGCATCCCCAACAGGAAGTCAAAGCGTTGGAGAATTCAGAAAAGGTGTTGTGCTGAGGACTATCCTCAGTCCTTGCCTCAAAGCGGATGCTTAGACAGAAACATGTTTCATAGCATGAGAACAAACTTGCATGTTGGATTGGAGATAAAACAATTGTGAAGATGTTAATTTGCTGGATATGCTGATGGAGAAAGGTGACTTAAAGAATCCTTAGGTTAGTTTTACTAAGAAAAAATGGTAATCTGGAAGGACAATATCTTCCCTTTAGCACAGTAATTTAGTCTTGAAAAATTTACATATATTCTTGAGGTCCATAATCCTCAAGAGACATTTTGGGGAAGGAAGAAGAACTTACGATTTATGAGATTCCTCTCTGCATCACCTACAGACTGAGGAAGAAAAGTCTCCGTGCAAGAGTTTCATAGCCACTAAATATAAATTAGTTTCATGCCAGAACATCTGGAGGTGTATATGTATACAAGCATGTATTTTGAGATGTTGTTTTGGCACCAGACCTACTCTAAGCAATTATTTCCTTTCTTCAGATATTAACAAGAAAAGTACAAGAGATGATTAATGGAGGTTTGTTTGTTATAGCCCCCAGCAAGTATTTTTGGTATCTCTCTGAGTGATAATTGTGTATCAGGGGAAGGGAGGAGTGGAAAGAGAGTTGTTTGATTGTCTTACTGCATTGCCTTTTTTTTTTTTTTTCCTTCTAAATTACTTTTAAGGGGAACTAATCAGTAGTCATTAAGTATTATAATAAAAGAAATTCTGGTTGATCCATAAAGTACTCGTTGAGCTATCTAGATCACCAAATTAGGTGAATATATATTCACCAATGAAAATCCTTATGTCTTGTGCCTTGATTGACTAGGGTAAGCTTTTTTATGAATGTTACAGCTGAAATCAATTAAAGATGAGAGCCTATGCAGTTGAGTTTGAAACCATTGCACTGCACATGTTCAGCATATGAAGAACATGCAGTGAAGTTTCTGTTAACAGTACCTCCAAGCTGAAGCAAAAGGATGGCCATGCACTGTTGTGTCACATTATTAGAGTGATTTCAGTTTAACAGAACAAACCCAGGGACCCAGGAAGATTTCTAAAATCGCTGGACAACTGATTTTAAAGTAGACTAGACATCAATTTAGTTCAACACAGCTGATAATATAGGAGGAAATAAATTTTTCATGTCCTGAGAGAAGATGAAAAAGCTAATCATGCATAACAGGCAACCTGAGATTTCAGCATGCACTTTGAGACAACAGAAACAATGCAGGAAATGTGGCTTTCTCACCCAGTAAAACCCTGAGACTGTTGGTGTCCTAAGCAATGCAGGAATATTGACAACTGAGAGAAATTATGATGCTGATGTGTGCCAGACACTGTTTGCTGCATATGAGTCACAAAGCCTTGTGAGCCAAAGTGACATTGACTTCTCAGGGGAGATTTTGAGGGCATTGCAGGAACTAGAAGAACTAAGATAAGGGTTAATAAGGCTGTAAACTGAAGTAGCAGCACAGAGTGGTGGCAAAACCTGCTACAGTACCTGAAATTTCTTTGACTAGCTTCTTATCTGAGGTCTGTCACAAAAACAAAGTGGGAGTCCTTTTGCCTAAATTTACCAGTCCAAGTGTTAGGCTAACTTGTGGCCTAGGCATCTTCCATAGCTAATGAAGAGACAGAGGCAGTTCAGGTCTTTCCCACCAGTTAATTCTCATACCATGCTGTCTAGAGACAGCTGTGGAGCTTCAGGAGGAAGCTTCACTCTGTGACTAGATTAGATATCTAACTTTTTCTGTCTTGTTGCCGCTTGCTATGCTCTGGACCGCATGGCCAACTGGAAATATGACCACTCAGGCTTCTGGGACCTCCTGGACCTGCTCAGCACTTTATCAATGACATTCTAAGAAAAATAATAAAAAAGCAATGAAGTAGATGAGTGATCCAGATGCTTTGTTATACATTTGTGAATACAAAATGCAGTCTTTGAACATACAACATGAGTCCTTATATGGAGAAATGATGACTTTTTAAAATAGATACAGCAATAACTAGAGAGGTCTTGTGTGGTCTTTCCCTCTGCAACACTCTCTTTAGATACGTGGTGAGAACATGGATCTTTCTGCATCCCTAGAGTTTCTCTTCTTTTGCACTTCAAAATTACAAATGGAGTAAATTGTTGCAAATGTTTCACAAACTGAATCCAAACATGTTAACACAACATTTGCATGATACAAGCCATAAAGTTTTCTGAAAGGTTTCCGCTTTTGCAGTGATATATTTGGAATAATACTATTCAATAGTATTAAAATTTTAAAAATAAGAAAAGCAAAACAAAAACAGACACACACAACAAACAAACAACCCCCTGCATATTAAAAGAATAATCCTTCCATGGCCAGAAGCACTAAAATGTTGTTGTTGGATTAACTCAGATGACTTAACAGATATCTCTACCATGGAGATAATAATATATTTGGTAAAAACAGTGCAGTTTGGTAAAGACATAGTGCACTTATGGCAATTTTTTTTCCAGCTCTCATGTAAACCTTGTCAGTATAAATTATACTTGAGCAGAATTATTATTATTATTATTTATTTTTAATTTGGGCAGATCTTCCAATTATTTTTCCACCACCACATTCCAGCCTCAGCATATTTCTGGTCTTCCCTTTCTTAACCTGGACTTCTACTGGACTCTTCAATTTTTATCTTTCAGCTTTCACTATATAGCCAAAACCAGGGAACTGTTACCTCTTTTCCTAGGCAGCAGCAGGACCTAGGCATTCGTGTTCCCAACTGTAGTTTGCTCAGAAGGTAAGACAGCAGTGATTCCTTCTTCAACAGCCTTTCATTGACTGGAGAGAACCATATGCTGCTGTACTGTTGCACAGCAACTTTATAGGGATCTAGGACTTGCAAATCTTTTTAGAGAACAAATGTCCCTCCATTATATTATGCAGTACTGATACAAATGGAAAGTGGTGATGAAAGTTATTAAGTATTGAGTAAAATACAGAAATGTATCTTTGCTTAAACAGGACACTCGGCGTAATACCACTACTGAAGTTCAGGTTTTCCTGACTGATCAGAATTTATAGCTAATCCTATGAGTAGTCCTGTCCCTTCCTCTAAGCCTATATACCTAAACACTGAGAAATAAAAATAGCTGGAAAGTTTGAAGCACACCATGTCTGCTTAATACATGAAGTTTGGTATCTATAGGCTTGAGTTTCACAGAGTTTTATGTGTTTTCTGTTGTGAGGACATCTACAGTTTCGTTGGAAGAATTTGTGCTTACAGATCTTGTCAAAATTCACAATGCTCTTGAAGTATTGCACATAGGTAGGTAGTGATAAGCACTTTTTTTGATAATGAGGGGATACAGTCCAATTAACTTGACTCTAATAATTTCTAACCTTGTATTAAAAGGCTAATGAAAGCATTTGCTACTGCAGTTTGTGCATGCATAGCTTTTCTCATCCCGTAAGCACTTTCAGCTAGTGCTGCCAGCGTCACCATCAAATGTAGTAACTGCTGAAAGCCCTCTAGTCCCAGCCAAGAAATACTTTGCAAAGAAAGCATATCTGTTCACCATGCAGCTGTGTAGACATTGATGCCAACTCAAGAGAGAAGGTATGGGTGGGAACAAGTAGTGGGAAGGTGGGATTGTTTGTTTCAGCAGCAGTGTGGGGTTCATGCCAAAATAAACTATTTGTGGGACTACTGACTAAGGGTTGCCAATATAACAATGATATGTAAGTAGAAACTCACACTGATAAAGTCTTTTGTTAGTCATTCATAAATTTAAGAACAGAAATGTGAACCCAGATTTCAGATTTTTTTTTAATCGAATAACAGAATGAAATTGTTCTCTCAATGCTAAATCAAAAAAAATAGAAGTTTGAAATTTGTGCATAAAGAGCATGCTGATGTCAAACAAATGAAGGTGCGAGTTACTGAAATTGAGTGCATTTTATCTTCTGTTCATGCACATCATAAGCTGAGCTACAATAATAAGAGTCAGGGTACTGGAACCCCCAGACACAGGCTGTGATTGTGAGCACATCTAGGGGTGGTGCCTTTGAAGTAAAGTTGTCCTATATTTTGAGAATAAAGAAGTGTAAATTCTGTGATTTATTTATTTTTTTTTCAAATTAAAAACTCAAATGAGTCACTTTTCCAATTAAAAATCAAGTGACTTGTGTAGCTAAAGAAATTATATTTGAAGTTATGAAGAGAAACCTCTAGAATATCAAGTAACCTCCTACCATTAACCAAGGGCCTATGGATTACTCAACTAATCTGGCATAAAGCTCCCACTGTAAAAGTAAACTCTCCAAAGTAGAAATTGATATGGAATTTCCTTTGGGCTCACAACTCAGATCTCTGACCTGGGAAATGAATGTGATCTGTAACAAATCTAATATGGGCTCAAAAGCTACATGGCCTCCTTCAGTGACCCCAAGGTAATCATTCTTTTCTTCAGTGCTTCTGTTGCTACTATTCCTTTGGTAAAAGCGTCATGGGAAGTCTTCACAGGACTGAGGGAAAAGGCCTATTTTTCAGTCCGCTCATCCTGAACTCCTATCTCAGTGTCATATCTCTGGCGTCAGTCCAATTTAAAACTGGCCATGTCCAGTTTTATCCTCTTTATAACTAAAATCAAACAATACACACTTTCATCCACATGTAAATTATCATGGTTAGTGGCAGCCTGTAGCTAACAAGTCTATAGTAGATTTGAGATTTTGATTGGGCTCTTTCCCTTGGACTTGAACAGAGAGAGGATGAAGCTGTTTGTGATTTCTTTTTGGAAAAAAAAAAAAAGCATAAATAATAAATAAATTGTTGCTTAATACCATGCTTTTTCTCTCCAGCAAGAATAAGACTTCACATATTCAAAAATCTTCAATGCAGCAACATTGTTAGTTTTACAATACAGCTTATGTGGAAGAAGGGATAGAGTGCAAGTGAGGAATTGTGGTTTGGGCTTTTTTTCTACTGTCTTGTCCATTTTTGACTCTCTGGATACATGGTGATCCTGGTGTTGTAAACTCTCCTGGGATCTCAGAGATTTTGAAACCAAAGGTGACAGGATCAGAATTAACTTCAAGTAATTGCTGACCAGTCACAATATTGGTTTTGCCTCCTGTGTGCCTGTTTTAGCTTTTTACATCTGTAGAATCCCCTCTCTGTGATGCAGTGGAGGCAGAGAAAATATAAAGCTTAATTCATTTTGTATTTGATGCAAATTACAGCATCACTTCATCTATACAAGCAAACTACCAAGAATTTTCACCTTGACATTGCATGTTACTGAATAGAGGTCTGGCTTTATGCCTCTTCCAACTGTAGATCCTTCATCTCTTTATAGGAGGCTAGAGTAAAATAGAGAATAGGGCAACACTCAAAGAAAATTCATATTTGCAAATTCAGTAGATCCGCAAGATCTATATTTGAAAGGACTGTATGCAGCTCAGCCACACAGTGCCTGCACATGAGCGAGATACAGTAGCACTTTCAGAAAGTATGACCTGGGATGGAAAAGCAGAATATGTTTCTCATAGACTGCATCACCCCTGTTTCTACATCTTGGAACTTCTTCAGCGCTATCTTGACTGCTGTCAAAGATGTTTTATTGTTAAAATCAGACTACTGGGGCTTCAGACCCATTGCTACAGTTTACTAAATGTGGAGAAAAAGTATCTCACCTTTAACTTACAGAATTTATGTAAAGGAAAAAAATAATGTAAATTGTCAAGAAGAGATTTTACTTAATTCTGTAGGAAGCATATTCTGTTCAAATGTAGTGCATTTGAAGTATTTCCAAGCACGTGAGACTTTTCATAATGTTGCTGCCCTAAGAGGGTACTTCATATTTGCTACTTCAAATATGATAAAAATACATGAAATTATGCTCATAAGTATTCTGTTCAAAAACAGTCTGGATTTTGTACACTGTACACTGTACAATGGCACTGTACATTGCCATGCAGACTAAACCATGTTAGATCACCATATGTTTAAAGCATAAAAATGTGTCAAAGTAGAAAGAGGACATGGCCTTCTTTCAGGGGGTCACAAGCAATACAGCCTTCTGCTAGCATCCACAGAGGGTATAATATGAAGATGTGTTGTAAAACAAAACAAAACAAAACAAAACAAAACAAAACAAAACAAAGAAACAAAGAAAAAGGGAAACAAACAAACAAACAAAAAAACAGCAATCAGTGAGACACATTTGGCCACAGAATTAAATGAAATGTATATATTTCTGCAGAGAAAACATAAGCATGACATCATTCTATTAATTTGGACAGAGAGTTGCGGAGATCTACCCACCACTAATATCTGCTGCAGAACTTTCCCAGTACTCACACACATCATCCATGAATCCCTTAGAAATTCACTTGCCTTCCCTGCAGGTGAAGATGACCATGGAGCATCCCAGCATCATTTCACTGAGCAGTCCTTGGTGTCCAGAAGCCCTCTGATGGGACAGAGAAATTTGCTGAGCATATGACAGGAAAATAGTAAACTTTTAAAATATGATGCAACACCTTTTGCAATTATGTCAAGTTCAGTGCCTTTGCTGGGCAAAATTTGTAGCTGGGTAATTCTCATACCACTTCCCTTTAACTATTGGCATGTATTGGCCATTCGATCACTATTACATTTAATCACAGGGAAAGAGCAGAATAGTTGCCGTAAACACTCTCAGGAAACAGGGATCAATGGCAGAATTGATTTAAACTGACCCTGACAATGAAATGATCTAATCACAAGTTGGAAGGGCAGGCACTCAGCTCTGCTCTCTGAGGACAGCGACAGGACCTGAGGGAATGACATGGAGCTGGGACAGGGGAGGGTCAGGCTGGGGGTTAGGGAAAAGTTCTGCACCCAGAGGGTGGTCGGGCACTGGGACAGGCTCCCCAGGGCAGCGGTCACGGCACTGAGCTGCTGGAGCTCAAGAAGCATTTGGACAACACTCTCAGACACATGGTCTGATTTTTGGGTGGTCCCGTGCAGAGTCAGGAGTTGGACTCAATGATCCTTGTTGGTGCCTTCCAACTCAGGATGTTCTGTGATTCTGTGATTCTGAGTCTCTGCAGCCAGGACCTGTTAAAATAATCATTTATTTTCCTTGTTGTTTTTGAAACATGGAAACTTTTTCAACCTTGAAACAGAATGAACTGCCAGCAGTGTAGTTGTTTTGAGTAAATATTCCCAGAATTTCAACACATCATGGATGGCAGTGACGTCTCTTTTAATGTTTGTTGTCCTAATTCCAATACACAATGCTGAGTGTAAAACACAAAACTGCAGGTTACTCTGCAACAGATTTTTTCAAATAAAACAAAAATCTTAGCAGCTCTGTTATCTTCCCCTTGTATTTTAATCTTGCTGTGTCATATCCAGAATTTCTAGCTCTACCAATTTCTGCAGAGGCTACTTTTCCAAGAACAATTTTCTCAAGGGGTAAATTGGAGAAGAATAATTCCATTACATTTTTTTTAAAGTTTCCATTAAAAATAGATAGATAGATAGATAGATAAGAAGTTCTTACTTTTCCATCTCTTCCAGGAAATGTTTAGGCTGAACTTTTTTATTTGGGGGGAGGGAGAGGGGTGGGGAGAAGTGTGGGGAAGCACTGAACCTCCGAAGCAAAAAGTGCTGTCTTCGTCAAGTCATTTCAAGATAAGTGGACAGTTAGAGCCATATTCATTACATTCCCCCATAAGCACTCTTGGAATTACCCACTGAAGATAGTAAATAAAGACTAATTTTCACAACAGCATTAGCCAAGCACTAGAACAGGTTGCCCAGAATGAAGATGGAGTCTACATCCTAGAAGGGATTCAAAATTTTATTGAGCAGGACACTGAGCAGACTGACCTGACACTGAAGGTTGTTCTGCTTTAAGCAGGTGCTCAGACTGGATGATGAGATGTGATGTAATGACATTAAGTTGCTTCAGGAAGAATTAGATTGGGTGTTAGGACAAATTGCTTTATGGAGAGACTGGTTAGGCATTGGAACAGGCTGCCAAGGGAGATGGTAAAGTCACCATCCTTGGAGGTGTTCAAGAAATGTGGGTGTGGCACTTAGGTATGTTTCAGCAGTGAATTTGGTGGTGTGAGGTTGTTGGCTGGACTTGATGACCTCAAAGGTCTCTTCCAACCTAAGTGATTCTATGATTCTATGACCAGAGGTCTTCTGCAATGTAGATTCTCCTATGCATCTATCATTTTCAGGACTAACACAGAAAGTGCTCATTTCTTCAATTCATACACTTCAGTTCTTCACTCAGAGGGTGATGGGACCCTGGCTGCCCAGAGAAGCTGTGGATGCCCCATCCCTGGAAGTGTTCAAGGCCAGGCTGGATGGGGCTTTGGGCAACCTGTGGGAGGTGGCAGGGTAGTTGGAACTGGGTGATCTTCAAGGTCTCTTCCAAGTTCTGTGATTTAGTTCTCCATGGATCCCTGTGCTCAGGACCACATATTTATTATTTCCTCAGACTTGCAGCCCATTGCTGAACCCTTGTTAATCAGTAAAGTAATATAGCTGGCTGTAGAGGAGAAAAAGACAGAGGTAGAGATTTTTTACAAATTAAATGTGTATTTTAAAAGTGGGACACTTTTCTTATGAAATTGGTAAGAAATTAATAATTTTGGTCACCAATAATAGAAGGTAGATTTTTTTTCACAAAAACTGTCTTTATAGCTGTCAAACATCATTGTCTTGAATGGGGTTAATACTGATCTATATATTCTTGAGATCAGAACCAGGTCATCGTTTCTTAATAGCCTGGAAGCCAAAATACTTCTTTGTGCTGGCTGATTTTACTGCAGTTTCACGTGGTAAGCAGTATTAAATATTTGCCATCAGCCCTGAGACAGGGAAAACAGCAAGTTCATGTTTTTCTTCTGCTGAGGCACGGTCTAGATTTTTGCTTTTTGTCCAGGTATTGGGCTTGGACCACAAAATGCTGATCCACAGCTGGAACTATCCCAACATTCAGGGCTCTTCCTACACAGATTTATTCTCAAGCCCATTAGGTTGCAAACAACAGAAAATGTCCTTATTTTTTTATCTTCCTCAAAAAATAGAGTAGGAGACCTGGTTCCACTATTTGACTGATTTTTGTGAGTTTCTTTCAGGCCTCTCAGGATTTATTTCTCACTGGCTGAATCTCTGGGGATGTAAGAAACAAAGACCAGCACGTTTTTTGCCTGTAGCGCTGAGCAGCACTGTGGCGTCTCTGGTTACCATATGTCCCAACATGCAATAGCATGGTGCCAGCTCATGCAACTACATGCACAATGCTACTGGCTGAACAAAAGTGTCACACAGGATTCCGCTACATCACTTTCTTGCCTGCAGGTCTCCACTTTTTCCTCTCATTCTTACTCAGTTTTATGCATGTTGAGTTAAGGTTTGTGTGACATAATCTGAAGGCAAAGGCCTGATTCACATAGTCTAACTGAGGGACTTAAGTGAGGAGCATATTTGCCCTAGGCTACCTTAATAGTCTGTTAAGAAAGAGAGACATTTTCAGCAGGGGATTTAGGGGTGAGCTGAATAACAGTTTGGAAAGATTTTCCCTTTTCTCTTTCAAGAGGGAGCTAACAATGAATACTTTCCTAATTAAGGTACCTAGCCAGCTGCCTAGGGTTAGGTGAGATGAAACCAGCCAAAGCATAAAAGCTAACAAGGCCAACCCTAGTCACAAACTAGTCCATGTAACAACCTTATTTTTGTTGTTTGGATTTGACCCTACCACCTCCCAACACCACAAGAGAAACTGTCTTGATAGTACAGAAAAGGTGAAGCATGAAGAAGCTACAAAGAAGGAATAAACTAAAATGGAAATGAGAATTGCAGCAATTGTGTTTTCCTGGATTCTGCAGGAATTCCTTTTTCCTCTCTTGGTTCACTATTTCCATATCACATACCTGGCTGTCATTTTGTCAATAGTGTCTGTCAGTCAGTACCGGGTGCATCTCACTGGCCTCCCACACTCCTGGGATCAGAGAGCTTCCAGTAGCTGTCAGCTTTATCAGGTGTTGCCTACATTTCTGGGGAGAAAAGACCTCAGTCTGTGGGAAAGCAAGACCTGCAGTGGTATGGGACTCTGCCTGTCTTTCTGAAGCTTTTGTGCACATGCATGTTTGCTGGACTTGATGCATTCCTTTTAACTGCTGAGCCTAAATTCAGGGGCACCATTAATCTCCTTAGATGTAGGAAAGCATCTTTTACCATACAAAATTTCAATGTTTTCTAGGAGATGTTTTGCTTCATCCCTAAAATGTTATTAAATTGCTGTCCTGATCTTATGTATCAGACTAGGTAGTAGAAGAGGGAGCAGGATCTAGCAGTACTGTTTAGTTTTCTGTTAGAGGTTTTCCATACAGGTTTCTTAGTTTGTCTCTGACCATCTATTTTTTGTCTACAATCATTCTAGTGTTAACCTTGCTATGATACCAGATTAATTTTATAAACATGCAACCAGAGGTGAGCCCGGTCCAGTCTAAACTGGTGTGTAAGTTTTTGTGTTTATCTTTGCCTCTGTGAGAGGCTTATTTTCAAAGAATCCAAACCTGGATCCAAATCCAAAGTCCTCAGATGGTCCCTGTCACTGCAGAAGGCTAAACCAAAACAGCCAAGCACATCTTTGAAGGCATTTAGATTCTGAATCTTGATCCAAATGACTTGAATTCTTTCCCTTCTCTCATCTCTTTAATCTAGATTAAAGATAAGATCTTGTGAGCACGGGAAAAAAAAGAAAAGAGAATATCAACAGTTGATATTAATTGCCTTCTATCAATCCCTGAAGAGTTCTCAAAATATTTAGACAGTCTAATGCGAGTAACAACATTAATAAACTAAATGTGAGAAAGAAAAAATGCTGCTAATTACAGCAGTTTAAACATCACATCTGATATATAACAGAGACATCTAAATATAACAAATAAAAAAAGATAAAACAGAAAGCATAGTAATGAAAAAAAAAAGAAAATCAAAGCATTGTCCTCAGTGCCATAAGGGTCACATCAGTGAAATAACTCTAATGTCTTTCCAGAAAGAAAACATCATTAAAGGCCTGGAAGAATTGAGTTCTGAATTAATTCTCCATCAACATTCAGAGCACTTCCCCCTCCTTTCCATCCCAGCATTTTCCTAAGGCCTTTTTCTTGACCCATAAAAAAACATGTAATTTTCATAAAAACAAACAAACAAACAAACAAAACACTTCTAACCATTAACTGAAGATTAAAACTATATAGGAAATAGATTGGAATAGTCAAATCTTAAGCCAAGAGAAGAGTCAAGGTCTAAAAGAGTCTCTATACATATTAATGTATGAGATGTGTTCATTTTATTATTACCTATATATACTGTGTTTGCTAGTCAATTACATTTATTATTGTTTTCAGTAGCAGGCAGATTTGTTTGATTTACGGGAAAAATAATTGTTAATTCTTAATG